ACTGCTACCCAGCCTATTGTTACAAAGTGTTCTAGACTTTCAGAGGCGATGTCGTTTTGGGTTGTCTGGAAAATGTTTCAGAGAAGATACGACTTGAGTAATATCTAAAAGGAGGTGCTGTCCCTGGTTAGTCCAGGAAGAGCTATCATGGCATCTTTCCAGTGGCAGTAGTGGGAGTAGTAGGAGCAGAGGTGAAGGAGTGGGAGAGTACATTTCCTGTTTGTTTACTGAATGGATTGCCTGGAACATGTAGTGAAGAGTAGGAGGACGAGCTGGCCACCAGAGAGTGGAGGAGGGCTTTGAATGCCCAGGCTGACACCTTTATACATCATCAGGTAGGCAATGGGAAATCACCGACTATTTTTGAGCAGGAGGGGGATGTAATCAAAGATGCTTCTGAAAGACTTCCAGGAGCAGGCAGTGGAATAGATTGGAGAGGGTGGAGATCAGAGGTTAGAGGATCAGGAAAAAGGATATTGAGATAGTTTAGGGGGATGGTGCTACAAGTCCAGAAGAGATGATGGAAAGCCATCCTCTGAATGAAAGCTGGTCCTCAGAGGGGCTGTCAGAGCCACTGCCTAATTCTAAGTACATGAATATTTGTATTCCAAATCTCTTCCCAGCCATCTTCTCATTCCTCTCTTCTTGCTTCCTCCCTCCTTCCTGTCCCTCGGCCTTTTCTCCATTATCTCTGTTTCCTCCCCCATCACTTCCAGTAATGCTCAGTAATCAGCCATGATTCTGAATATCATTTGGGAAGGAGGGGAAGCACTGAGGGAGGCTCTGAGCAAGATACAAGGAAGGAAGGAAAGAAGGCAAGAAAGAAAAGGAAGAAGGAAGGGAGGGAGGCAGAGATGTCTGTATGAGCATTTCCCATGGTCCAGGCTGAGAGGATGGGGATACTGAGGCTTAGAGTGATTGCAGTACTTGTTTGGAGTCACACAGCTAATTGGCATCTAAGTCTGATGAACTCCAGAACTCACGTCTTGTTTGTCATGCCACACTGATTTCATTTTCTGTCTCCCCTGATCTGTTCAACTCATATAATATTTTCTTATTCTGATACCCTAATATCACTTTGTCATGGCTCTTTAACTCACCACAGTCTGTCTTACATTATAGTGATCTGTGTATATGTCCAGCATTGGCACATAAAATAGGGACAATGGTTGAATGAATGATTGATTGATTTCTGTTGCTAGATAGTAAGGAGCCTGTAAGGATCCCACAGCAGGGACAGCCCAAGGGCTTATCATTAGTATTTACTCTGTAACTGTTGGATTGAACATATTTGAATGTCTTAGGCACCTCTGTGGGCATCACGCCCTGTTGGACAGTGAAGCTACCTTGGTAAACTTCAAGACCCAGGATTTGTGTTGTAATTTCTAGCATAATCACTAAAAGAACAGAAACAGGATGTATGGCACCTAAACTAGAAGAGAAAGACAAATGGAATGGTAAAGATAATCAGTCTAAAAGAAGTCAAAACAAATGGCCAACAAGCACATGAAAAGATGCTCAACATTACTGATCATCAGGGAAATGTAAAGCAAAACCCCAATGAGATAACATCTCATACCCACTAGGATGACTATTATTTAAAAAACAGAAAGTAAGTATAGGTGAGGACATGGAGAAGTTGGAACTCCTGTGCACTGTTGGTGGGAGTGTAAAATTGTGTAACCACTGAGGAAAACAAGATGGCAGTTCCCAAAAAAAAAGACAAAACAGAATTACTGTGTGATCCAGCAATTCCATTTCTGGGTATATATCAAAAGCATTGAAAGCACAGTCTCAAAGCGCTGTTTGTACATCTATAGTCATAGCAACGTTACTCACAGTAGCCAAGCTGTCAAGGCAACGTAAATGTCCATCAACAGATGAATGGGAAACAGTATGTGGCATATCCACACAAGGCACTATATTACTCAGCCTTTCAAAGGAAAGAATTTCTGACACGTGATCCCACATGGGTGAGCCTTAAAGCCATTATACTAAGTAAAAATAATCATGAAAGGACAAACATTGGAATAATAATTCCAATTATATGAGATACCTAGAATAGGCAAATTCATAGAGACAGAAAGCAGAATGGTGGTTGCCAGGGCCTGGAGGGAGGGGAAATTAGGGAGTTATTGTTTAATGGATACAGAGTTTCAGTTTGGGAACATAAATTCTGGAGATGGATGGTGGCCATCTTAATGACATGTACTTAGTGCACACTTGAAAATTGTTAAGATGGTAAATTTTATGTTCTAGGTATTGTAGTACAATAAAAATAACTTTAGGTAAAAAAAAAAATCCCATTTATTCTTTGGTTTTTTTTTTTGAGATGGAGTCTCGCTCTGTCGCCAGGCTGGAGTGCAGTGGCAAGATCTCAGCTTATTGCAACCTCCGCCTCCTGGGTTCAAGCGAGTCTCCTGCCTCAGCCTCCCGAGTAGCTGGGACTACAGGCGTGCACCACTGTGGCCAGCTAATTTTTGTATTATTAGTAGAGATAGGGTTTTACCATATTGGCCAGGATGGTCTCGATCTCTTGACCTTGTGATCCGCCTGCCTTGGCCTCCCAAAGTGCTGGGATTACAGGCGTGAGCCACCAAGCCTGGCCCCATTTATTGTTATGTGTTTCCATTGAAGACACATAGGTATCATCATGTGTCCCTAACATCCCCACTCCACTCTGCCAGCTCTTCTGGGACAACTGGAAACCAATGAGATTTGGGGGTAAAGGGGCGTTACATGGAGGCTAATCTTCACCTTCTTGGTCCCTCAAAGATCCAGTCGTCTGATATACTCTCTACTCTATATCCAGCAAGACACAATGTCCTTTGAGTGGGGAAATGAAATAGAGAAGAAAATATATGAAAAATAATCATTTTCTGGGAGAAAAATGAGTACGTTTTAATTAGAAAAGCTGCCTCAGAAAAGCCTTCTTGGGTGGGAGAGGCCCTACACCTAAAAGGATTCGCTCACATAGCTCATCCTCTTTTGACCTCTTTCCCCTGCTCTCTCTGCCCCATCTCTGCCCACTCTTTCTGGGATCCAGATTTGAAATGGTTGCTGCCACCCCAATAGCAAGTCTCTTAGGACATTCCTGTGCCCCTCAGTTTCCTGGCTTAGGGCTGGAACTTATCAACGGGCTCTTTTTGAGGAAGTTAGGGAAATGCAAAGGAAAACAAAAAGAAACTATGAAAGTCCAGAAACAACTAAGTTTACTAACAAAAATCACTTTCTTCTCTCGACATAGCTAAAGTCAAACCATCAACGGGCTTAGCATGTTTTGATTTTAATAAGGCTTAATGAGTCTGCATTTTGAGAAGGCTGTGGACCCCTCTGGCAGTCTGGTGAAGCCATGGACCCTTTCTCTGAATAATATGTTTAAATGCACAGAACAAAATACACAGATTTATAAAGGAAACCCATTATATTAAAATTCAGTTATCAAACTATTACCCACAATGTGATATAGTAACATATATGCTTCTTGATGTATGCATTAAATAACCAGATCTAATGACAGTGTCAATAACTACTGAAATTTTGAAGTAGTCATGAACATAAATGAAATTTCAAGATACCTGCAACAACTGTAATATGAAATGCAAATCTCTGTGATGTCTGCTACTGACAGTCACAGGTACTCCTAACACATCGTGGTTTATTGCCTACATTCATCATTGAAGGAAATACTACATTTCAGTTAGAAGTTAGTGAAAAGAGAGGCAATTTTATTCATCCCAATTCAGAGACCCCCCATCCACCCTGAATTTTTGGCCTATAGGACCCTGGTTGAGAGCAGGTCCTATAGGGTCATATAGACTCCCATGGATTGGAACCAGCTGTCTCCTACCTGTCTCATCCTTCAGGATGACATTATTTCTTCTCATTCAGTTTTCAAGCATACTCCTGTAATTGACTGCCCACAAATCCCTGGTTTCTGGCAGGGAAACTCTTGGAGCTGTCAGCCCATTTGCCCAACACTATTGACTCCCGTGCTGTGAGTCCAATAAATAACTGGCTCTTTCTCAAAATTCTGTCTGAGAAGTCACTAGGGCAGTCCTCAGATTTTCCAGAATTCTCACCGGAATCGTAGACTAGAAAATCACCCTATACCTACCTAGTAACACCAAGCCTGCCAGCCACCACCACTTCTGCCCTGTCCCTGAATCTCACTCTTTTCAGCTAGTTCGTAGGGGGCAGCTCCTGAGAAGGCTGGGGTGATCTTTATTATTTTTTTTATTTTGAGACAGAGTCTTACTCTGTCACCGAGGCTGGAGTGCAGTAGCACGATCTCAGCTCACTGCAACCTCTGCCTCCCAGGTTTAAGTGATTCTCCTGCCTCAGCCTCCCAAGTAGCTGGATTACAGGTGCCCACCACCATGCCCAGCTAATGTTTTCTTTTTTTTTTTTTCTGAGACGGAATCTTGCTCTGTCACCAGGCTGGAGTGCAGTGGCGCGATCTCGGCTCACTGCAACCTCTGTCTCTGGGTTCAAGCGATTCCCCTCCCTTAGCCTCCTGAGTAGCTGGGACTACAGACGTGCACCACCACACCTGGCCAATTTTTTTGTATTTTAGTAGAGACAGGGTCTCACCATGTTAGCCAGGATGGTCTCCATCTCCTGACCTCTTGATCTGCCCGCCTTGGCCTCCCAAAGTGCTGGGATTACAGGCGTTAGCCACTGCGCCCAGCATTTTTTTTTTAAGTAGAGATGGGTTTTCACCATGTTGGCCAGGTTGGTCTCGAACTCCTGTCCTCAGGTCACCCACCTGCTTCAGCCTCCCAAAGGGCTTGGATTACAGGCACGAGGAACCACGCCTGGCCTGGAGTAATCTTTAAACCAGAACAGATGCAGCCTCACTCCCGGCCTTTGTGCTGGCCAGATCCTTCCCAGAGGGTGGAGACCAACCAGAGGATCTCTTTGGAACCCTCTTCATTTGGAGATTAGCCATTCCTTTGGTTTGTTCCCTATGTGCTCTCCAGCCCTTGGGGTTCACTCACCTAAAAATATATAGACTGGGATCCATTGCAAAACAGAGAGGGTTTGGAGACCCTCCTGGAGATCCAGTCGGGAGAAGAAGGCCATGGTTATGGTGCTGTTCTGTTGTGGCAAGAAGTCCAACCAGAAGGTCAAAACTTCTTAAACCGAGTGGATTGTAGATGCTTTGCTATAATCTCTTATCGTGGAATGAGATTAGCTGCTGGGGTTTTGTCAGGCTTGACCAAACCTTTTCTCCACTGCCCCGCCCCATGTTCCTACCCACACACCAGGTTGCAGATCAGGCTATCTAATCTCCCCAGTCATATCCTTTCTCCACAGTGTGCTCAATTGTAATGAAGCACAAATGGCCCTGGAATGGCTCTAGCTGTGGGGGAGGGGCACCCTTGATAAATTAATGCAGAAAGAGAGTAGGTTAGGCCTCAAATAGGACCTCTGAAAAGCACCCCACTCCCTTTCCCTGCTTAAGAAAAGGGACTTGGCAGCCACACTTGTTTCTGCCCTAGTGGTTATCCTTTGTCTCCTCTTGTCTTTGCTCAGAGTCATCTAGCCCACTGGGGTGTTTTTCTGCATGGATATCTATTAATAGACTCCTCAGATCCCTCTTTGTGCCTCTAGTCCCAGGGGCCCTGTCTCAGTGGCCAGATACCTTGTCATAGAGTGGGAGAAGCATTGCACAGAAAGACCTGGCTCCCACTCCCAGCTCCACCATGCTCTTCCTGTGACACCTTTGGAAAAAACTCCATCTCTTTAGAGCTCAGTTTGAGCATTCATTGCTAGAATGCAGTGTAGGTTAGGGGCACAGACTTTAGAGCCAGATAGCTGGGGTTCACACCTTAGCTCTATCGCTTATAAGGTGGTGAACCTCTATGGCCCAGTTTCTCCATCTGTAAAATTGGGATGATAATAGTACCTACTTCCTAGGGTAGTTCTGGGGATTAGATGAGTGAATGAATATAAAGTGCTTAGCACACAGCCTGGCATCATTTCCTGTCGTTACTACTCATTTAGTTCAAGTAACACATATTGAACAAGTAACGTGTTTCAGGCTGAGGCTTGCTTTTGTGTAATAGCCTTTGGAAAATGGAAGACAAGCCTTTTTTTTTCTTTCTTTTTTTTTGTAGACAGAGTCTCGCTCTGTCACCCAGGCAGATCGTGCAGTGGTGTGATCTCAGCTCACTGCAACCTCTGCCTCCTGGGTTCAAGTGATTCTCCTGCCTCAGTCTCCTGAGTAGCTGGGACTATTGGCGTGTGCCACCACACCCAGCTAGTTTTTGTAGTTTTAGTAAAGATGGGGTTTCACCATGTTAGATATATTTTTTCTGTCACTATCTATTGAGTGACTGCTGTTTGCCAGGCACTGTTGTTAGGTGTTGAGGATTCAGTGGGGAAGAAGACAGACATGATTCTTGCCTTCTTTGAGCTTACAGTCTAGTGGAGGAGACAGACATTAAAAAAAATATCACACAAATGTTAGGCTGGGTGCCATGGGTCATGCCTGTAATCCTGGCACTTTGAGAGGCTGAATGGGAGGATTGCTTGAGCCCAGAAGTTCAAGACCAGCCTGGGCAACATAACAAGATCCCATCTCTACAAAATAAGTAAATAAATAATAAAATGTTTGTACACTTGAAGTTGTGATGTGTCCTACAGGAAAAGGCCAGTACTCCCAGCAGAAGGCCTTGAATATAGAAGGTAGTCAAAAACATCTGTTGAATGTAACTGAAGGGGTTGCTGGGAAAATCAGATACAAAAATGGTATCAAGGGTTTTACAAGTGCAAGAGAGCATTGGTCCCTTTTCCAGGGAGATTAACGGAACTCTATCATCTCCCTACCCCCACTCTGCTTTGGGCTTCCTTTATTAGAGTGACTAATGTGACTCTGCAGAGCTGAGCTTGGGGAACTTTTTTGGTTATGTCAGGGTGTGCTTTCAACTCCCCCATGTGCCCTAGATGGTCATCTGACATACGACACCTTCCTCTTCTTTTCTTCCCCCTCTTTCTTATCTTCCCCCTGAGATAGCTGGGGTTCTCCAGCTGCTTCGTGGGGCTGCTTGACTACATAGAAGGTGGGATATATTGGAGTGTATCTGCTCAGAATTTGTAGGGGAGGAGGGAGAGAGGTGAGAGAGGCAGGCCTGGCTCTTCTGGGGGAAAGCAGAAATACGGAGGGGCTTAGAGTACCCAGGACAGACAAGATCCACAGTATCAAGAGGTCCAATGCCCCTTACAGATCAGGTCTCTGTTTCCCTACTTTCAGATGGGTAAATGGAGGACATCTAGAAAGGGCTCCAGGCAACACAAGAATCAGAGGCAGGCAGGGCCAGACAGTTTTCTACCTCTGTCTCCCTAATATCTGGGTCAGGGTCTGGTGCAGAGCAGACACTCAAGTAAATGTCTGTGGAACCTGTGAGGGAGACCAGGTCTCCTGATGCCTGAGGCAAGATGGACTGGCAGGGCTGGACCCAGACCCAGATTGGTCACCCTTTGCTCCCAAAGACAGAGAGCACAATGGCCGAGCTGGAGCTCTCTTGAGCCAAATGGACAAGTGTAACATAAACATCAGGGAACAGAGAAAGAGCAAGAAGAGAATTAGGCTAGCAGATAAACCCTGAACAGCAAGCACTCGTGATTTCGCAATTACAATTCATCAACCAACAAGTAAAAACTTGGCCGCCTCAGAGTAAGCAATAAAGAAGGAAGGGTTGCCAAGGAGCACAAAGGGCCTGCCAATTTCATCTGTAGACATTGAAGGTTGACATGATTCCTACCCTCAAAACACTTACAGTCCAGTGTTGGAAGGAGGTGTAAAAGCAGACACCTGCATGGGGTGATGTGGGTTGCACAGACGAGAGAAGCACCTGCATGCCCGGGGAGTGAGGGAGGCTCTGTGGAAGAGGGCCCGCTGCAGTGAGGAGAAATGGATCAGGCGAGAGAGGCCTGGACGGGCAGTACAAGAAAGACTGTCGTGAGCTCACCAGATGGGGCTGGGATAAGCTGGACCCCAAAGAAACTTCGAAGGGGCAAGAGAAAAACAAAGGAGAAAAGTGGAAGGAAACAGATCAAGGGGACTGGCACCAGAGCGCTCAGACAGGGTGGTGGAAGCGAGGGTAGCTCTGATTCACCCTCAGCCTTTGGAATGACTCAGTTCTAGGAAGCTTTGGATACCTGAGGTTTTGCCATAATTTCTTTTCTTCCGATCTTCTCCCTCTCTCCTACCCTTATTTGGTTAGGTATTGCAATTTCAGCTCAGTTGAAAACATTAGGGCCAGGGGTGGTGGATCACGCCTGTAATCCCAGCACTTTGGGAGGCTGAGGTGGGTGGATCACTTGAGCCCAGGAGTTAGAGACCAGCCTGGCCAACGTGGTGAAACCCTGTGTCTACCAAAAATACAAAAATTAGCTGAGCGTGGTGGTACAGACCTGTATTCCCAGCTACTCACTTGGGAGGCTGAGGTGGAAGCCTAGAGCCCAGAAGGCCGAGGCTGCAGTGAGCCAAGAAAGTACCACTGCACTACAGCCTGGATGACAGAGCAAGACCCTGTCTCAAGCAACAACAATAACCAATAGCAATGGAGAACCTATTTAATGCCAAGCACCAGGCTAGGTATTCTAGACAGAGTATACCTAATCCCTTCATTCACCAAATTTTTCTCAAGGCCCTACTTAAAGTCTGGTATTGTTCTAGGTTTACAATTGCTTGTGTGTTGGTTTAGGGGGCAGGGAACACAGACAGGGAATAAAAGAAGTGCATATGTTATCAATACAAGGATTGGAGTCATCGGAGAATTTCAAAGGAGACAGAGGGGAACGCTAGTAGCTGTGTGACTTTGGACCAGACACTTCCTCTCTTTGAGTCTTGGTTTCCTCATCTGGTGAAAAGGATGCATCCTATTTCTTTGCTGTGAGATTTAGCAGCAGTGTTTGAAAGGCTTCTCATGTAGTATCTGCCATCCAGGAGCTGTTCATTAGCGCTACCATTCAGCTGTGGGGAGCGAGTATTTGCAGTGTGCTCTAATGGACTGAGAAGTGGAGAGCATGACATTTTCCATGGTGGCCCAGCATACACAAAAGGCTGGAAGTTTGCTTTGGTAAGGAGGAGGTTTAGTTTGATAGGAGCCTCAGGTTGGTGGACGGGAGTATTAGAAGAAGAAAAGTCTGAAAAGTGGTAAGCGGGGATCATTTCCTAACAAATCTCTTTACGTATCGGGAGGCCTAGATATGTAAAGAGATTTATGTTTCACTTGATTCTAGGTTTAGAATCCAGTGAAAGTAGACCCAGGAGTGGTGGTGGGAGGAGGGGCCCGTGGTGATGGAGGGTAGGGCAGAACAGGGGACGTTTGAAATCCTTGGAAGCATTAGTGATTGGATCACTTCTAGGCCCTGGGAACAGCAGCCTCCAGGGTCTTGGTTCAGGGTCTTGGCGGAGGGTGACCAACCCTCCCAGTTTGCCTGGGATGAGGAGTTGCCCAGGATGCTGGACTTCTGTTGCACCCAAGCGAGACAAGGAATGTGCCACACTCTGAGATTGAATTATGAGTCCTTTATTACGCCGGCGAATGAGAGGTGGCTAAAGCCCAAAATTCTCTTGGTCCCTAAGAAAAAGTTAGGTGGTCTTTTACACCCTAGTTTTAAAAGGGAGGGGGAACCTAGCTGAAGCAAATTTTTCACAAAAGCAGAGTGAGCAAAAAGTTAACAGATAAACTAGTACATGAGAAATAAAACAGTGCCAGGCACAAGGGGTAAAGCTGTCATGAAAGACATACAACTTATAGATAACTGAGGCTCTGGGTCCTCGACAGCACCTGCATTCCCAGGCTCTGCTGGTGTCACTTAACTCGGCCTCTTATCAACAAATGCATTCCTGGAGGTGCCCAGTGTCAGCCTGCCCCAGCTACATACTATAGTTACATACTTAATGGTGGGAAAATAACTAAAATGAAGAAGCTAAGATGGAGTCTGTCTGGCTCAAGAAGCTAACATAAAGCCTGAACAGCTTTTAGTCTGAGAAAGAGAGAGTTAGCTTTAGCTGGCAAAAAGCAGGGCATCACACTTCCAGGGCTAAAACTGGTGTAAACTTGGGCAAGCTGGAACAGTCGGTCCCCCAGTTTGGGCCCCTGTCACTGTCTCCTGGACTGTAGCAGGTTGCTGCCTGCTCACCTCCCTTCCTTTGGTCTCCATTCTGCA